TGGAGACACACAAGACCTTCCTTTTTGTACCAACAATCTTCACTCTTTGACCTTGGTCTTGACCTACTTTATAAAACTACTGTGGTCATAACTTTTGAGCGGCTTGATGCAAGTGCTTTCATATTTCATATGCATATTTCTTGTGAAATACCTTTCTCTGTGTATCAACAGTTTTGATATTTGTCCTTGACCTTGAAAATTTACCTACTTCGCTATAACTTTTCAAGATTTGGTGCTAGGGGTTCATTAGCAATTATTTTCCTTGTGTTGACGATATCTGTATTACTGGGTCATCGAAGGGCAATCCGGATGTATGTCTATTGACTTTGAGTCAAATGTTACTTTTACAGGTTATTATCTTTGCCATAAAGACCCATTTTTGATCTTTGTTTTACGTTCAATAACAATATGGCATCTTTTTCAAGTTGTCATTTATTCTAATGAAAATGTTAAGATTTAACTGATAGAATTAATACTTCAAAAAAGACTTTTCTTCGGGAAATTAGTTCTCACTGATAACAAGTTGTTCTCTTGATTAAAAATTCTGAAAAATATGATTAAATAGGTAGCTCGTTGCAAAACAATACTGAAAGGTCTTGATCCTCAGTTACAGACGGAAGAACATTCAATTTTTTGAAAATTCAGTAATGAAGTCCAAAAATCAAGGTTAAAGTGCAAACTACTTAATTATTACAAAATTAAGCATATTTTATTCCAAAACTCACAAGTGTGGATACTTGGAAATAAAATTCATAGCTTTAGTGACACATTTTGCCCAAAACAAACAAACTGACACTTCTACAGTTTACTATATACTTGGACATACATTTTGATGTACCCCTTGGATAAAATACTTGATTAAATTATGAACAAAACTGGCTACTATTAAATGTACTTAAACAATGGGAGATACTTATTTAACTCCCATGGAAAAAACTGTTATTAAAACATTAGTTCTACCATTACTTTAAGTCATATTTTTTCCATCCCATATCATTCTGAAAGATCTTGTAAGATTGGCACAAATTATTTTTAGAATATATTTATAAGCAAAATATTTTTAAAATTTGAGAAGATAATTGTAAAAAAATATGAATTTTTGGGTTTAAAAATGGTTCTCTGAATCTTTTATAGCCTCCATGAAATTATTTTGGATAAGGCATCTAAAAACAAAAACATATGTGCAAACTTCAATTCTTCTAAATTTAATTTGAATTTCTGCTTATTAGCTTTTTCTTTGTCTGGAATTGAATATACTTCAATTTTTTTAAAAAATTAAAAAATAAATTTTGGAAGATGTTTTTTGAAATTTTTTTTTGATAAAAAGTTTGATGTTGCTGGTTACCAACTATCTCCAAATTTGCATATTGGCGGAAATCCGTTTTAAATAAAAATATGTTTTTTGCGGTCAGAGCAACATTAAACAAATTAATGATATCAGTAATGAAGATGGTTTCTATTTTCTTATGAGCAGTTGTGTAATAATCCAAATATAAAGATTAGATTTCTCTAAAATAATGATTTTCCATATTCTGCTAAAAAGACATTGAACAATAAACCAAAATGATAAAAAAGCCCCTCACAAATCCCAATGATTATGTCTAATTTCTACACATATCAAAATGTAGAAGCTCTAAATGATTATGAAATCCTTATTCTAAAATTCTTCTGTCACAGATTCTTTTCTCTGCTTTTCGAAGTTGGATTCGGAATGGACAAAAATTCCCTGATACCCTTTAGGGTAACAAAAGATTGTAAACTACAATGGTTGCATATTGTTTTAAACAAAATCCTAGCAACATTTTTGTTCAATATTAAGAAAAAATGATTAAATTCTCATTTTTGTCATACTGAAGATTTAACAATAGAACACCTTTTATGGGAATTTATGATAATGTCAATTTTTTCTTAATATAATTTGTACATTTGTTGAAATAAAACTTTTTAATGATAAACCGTATAACAAATTACTTTAAAGATTTATCGAAAAAAGACTTTTTAGCCCCTTTTACCGGCCCCTAATTTGATTGCTACTTTGGCTAAAATACTATCATTTATACTGCCAGGTGCACAAAGAAACATATTAACTTAAAAATGCAGATATCCAAATGAAATTTCAGTTATGAAAACAGAAAATTATAGGGTTTTCTCTTTAAGAATCCCTAAAAAGGGAAAGTTTGATAAATGGAACAGGTTGAATTTATTCATCTTGATTTTGAACATCTTTACACACTCTCTTTACTCTTCTCTCTCTCTCTTTCTCACAAATGTCAAAGATTTTCTCTCTATCATTTGCTATCTCTCTTAAAATACACCATAAGAAAAATCACATATACAGTGGTTTCTTGTTGAAATATGTTTATAATGTATAACAAAATATTGTGTTAAAAGTTATCGAAAAAAGAAAAAAAAAATTTTGGAGAAATGAGCCCATTCATTTTTACTTGAATTCATCTTTTTGGCTTGAAGCTCTAAATTTTAACACTTTTTTGAATATGTTAACTGTCAACTTTGAAAAAGATTGTCAAATGATACTGTATTCGAATCCAATATAAAATAACAAAATGTTTTAGAATAAAAGACAGGTTGCATTATTTTCTGAAAATTTTTTAACTTTTCCTTTTTTTTAAAATTAACATGTATGTCAAACATATTATCTCACTTTCAGATAGAAATTCACACGCCTTGTACGCCCCTTTTTGGCCCCTTATCAAAATATTCATTATAATAGCAGTAATATACTTTTAATAGAATGTTGTTGAGCAAAATGATATTTTGCTTCAGTAAGTATAACAAAAGTTTATATCTTATCAAAAAAAGGTAATAATAAAATTTTTAAAAAAATGTATAAATGACTTTTAAAGATTTCATCTTAAAAAAATAATTATTAATAAAAAAATTCTTGTCAAACAAAATCAGAGATTCTTTGCGTTTATGATTATTTGCAAAATAAATAATCCGGGGAAATACGTATTGGGCAAACACAAAAAATGAAAGGTTGAGCTTTGTTCATCTGTCTTTTACGAACATCTTTTGTTAATAACTTACTACATGTAAATTCATATTTGAATCACTTTCAAGAGAAAGAGAAAGCAGTCAGTGAGTTTTTGAGGGAAAATTCTGTTGATTTTTTCCATAATGCCAGTTTAATACGACATGAAAATCATTAGGCATCTTTGTAAGCCAATGGTTACTGATATTCATTTTTGCTTCAGAAACCCTTGATAACAAAATATTGAGGGGATGGTTATTGATTTTCGAATATAAACTTTTGAGATTTTTGGCCTCTAATGTGATGAGTCATTTTTTCTTTATATCATTATTTAACTTTGTGCTTCTTTATACAAACTTTGTTCAGTTGTGTGTTAGCAAAATAATAATACTTTAAAAGATCTGACTTTGAAGTATGAAAAATCAATTTTGACCTAAATTTTACCAGCAACTACTCACCTTATCGGAAAATATCCTTAACAGTTAGTGCTGGGCATTTTATCTTCATTTCTTAAAATTTGCTTTTTACTCGCTTAAGCCGTTTTTGATTTCCATTTTTACCTTGACCTTGGAGTTTCGAGGTCCTTCTAAATTTTAAACATTTTGTCCATAACTTTGAACGGTTATTACTAGGAAAACAATTTCACAGGTATATTCCTTTGACAAGACCTTTACCTTGAAAATTTGCAAAATTTGACACGAGCCTTGTTAGAGTTTCCCATCGCTTTTGCACAAAACTTTTTATCTTTGTCAGAATTTTTTAACAAAAGAAAAAAGTGATTTCATATTTCACATAATTATGTATTTCTTGTAACAAAACATTCCCTAGGGTATAAAAGTTTTTTTTCTTTTTTCATACATATTTCCTTGACCTTGGAGTATATTATTTGCTTTACCAGGAACTTTAAGGTTTCCGTTGGAAACAAGACCTTAAATCCGTTAAGATTGCGACATATGAGGCCTCAAAGTCTGCGGTCTAAATTTGTATTTCTGTTTTGATTAACAGAATCAGTAACATTTTTGACAAAACCTTATGCCTTGGAGACACACAATACCTTAGGGATTTTGTACAAACAATCTTTTTCTTTGACCTTGGTCTTGACCTATTCAAATGAAAACTACTGATGGTAAATTTATAAGCCCCATATCGCAAGTGCATTTTGGATAAACATAATATTTCTTGTGAAAAACCTTTCTCATGTGTATCAAAAGTTTTGATATTTGTCCAAGGTTGAAAATTTACCTACTTGCTAAACTGAGTCAAATTTGGGTCAAGGTTCAAAAATTATTTTACCAATGAAAGGTCTTTTCTCAATGATAACATTTTTGTTCTGAACTTGCCTTTGGATTCAAGAGATGTGCAAGGTGAAAGTTTAGTTTTTTTTTTCTTTTGGCAAAAGTGGAGTCCATATTTAGGTCTTTGTCTCACAAACACATCTTTTATCTTTTTAAAGGGGGTGAAATCAATGAAAATGATTAAATTCTAATAAAAGTTAATTTTTGTGGAGCAATACATCTATAAACTAAAAGTATGGGAAAAACTAGTTCTCACTGTTCAAAAGTTATGGCCAAGGTTAAAAATTCTGAAAATAAAAAATTATAAAATGCAAAACAAAAATAACCAGTGGAAAGGTCTTTTTCAATGAATTTGACTTTGCATGATATTTACTTTATTATTAAAGATGTGGTCAAGGTTAAAGTTTAGTTCTTTTTTTTTTGGCAAAAGTGGAGTTGCCAAGGTAGAAATAATTGTATTTATTGAATCTTGTCACAAAGAATATACTTGTGAAATTTGAATTAATTTAGCTGGCAGCCAATCAAGTTAATATTTGTGGACATTTACAAACAAACTGACAGAAGGACGAAGCAAAAAAAAATCTTGTTACTACATACTATACCCTGAAACTTCGATTAACGGGGGCTTAGTTTATATAAAATGCAAACTCCATAAATATATATATTTGTTCTCAATTTTATATTAACCTTTGAAAAAATACTTATTTTTCTCTGAATAATTACAAAAATCACGTTAAACGATTTCATTGATTCCTATAGAAGTGATCATTTATTAAGCTTAAACATATATTTTTAAAATTTGAGATATCATACAAAACATAATGGATGACGAAAAAAGAAAGATGAAACAGTTATTGAAAGAGAAAATGTAAGTAACGGTTCATGAAATCATAACTGCATGGTGCACGGTTTCAGGACGGCGTATTTTGTGTATTGCGCATTTTTCTATGTCTGTTTAATTACTCTCATTAAATGGAAACAAATAATTGTTAAAATTATCATTTTTTGACATTTTTTTTTATAAAAAAGACACACGTTTTTAGCTAACTATCTTCAATTCTTGGGGTGACTCGGTTCAAACATATTTTTTTTTTCATTAACCTTCCCAATATCCTACAAGTCTCTTGTAAGATCTTGCTTTATAAAATAATATTGAATAATTCCCCTTTAGTTGTCTGCCAATTGCATTTGCCATATAAAACATGTAGTAAACCAAAATGTCATCCCTACTTAACAATGAAAGTGATAATTTCTAACTACATGTATGCAAAACTTCGTGATAGAAGCATTCCATTTATTAACTTTTAAAAAATAGACGTCTTAGAGATTCATCAGGAAGTGAATCAGTTTTTCTCTCTCTGGAATCATTTCAACAGTGCTTTTCCAAGATGCCTCATTTGCCCTTTTGGAGGGTGGGTGTCTGATAGTTTACATTACATGGTATTTTTTATTCAACATCTTCAAAATTGTTTGACAATGAAAAATACAGTGAAACTTTCCAAACCGGCCCCCCTGATTTTTTGGAGAGGATGAGAGAAGAAACAAACTTTTTTTTTTTTAAGCCAAAACCAAAAGTCCCCTACAAAATTCTTGTACATTTCTACACATATAAACTCTCATAAAGACCGGCACAAAAGGTCTAGAAAGTTCCGTTTTTCTCTCTCTGCCACTTTTCCAAGAAGGCCTCAAAGTTAATTGTAGTTTACATTACATTTTCCCCTCATTCAACATCTTCAAAATTTTTGATTGCAATGAAATTGTAACTGTCAACTGTACCAAACCGTGTACACAAACCGAGAATACACAAAATAGCTCTACACACCAGAAGTCAGCTCGTGACAAAATCAGAAATGGCCTACACAACGTTTTATTTATTAGTTTGGAATCATCTTTATATAAATAATGTATAATCTAGAAAAATGAAATAAGGACAAAAGTGTTAAATTTTTAGATTTTTTCAGAATACTTGTATACATATGATTAAATCGACCGTTCAACTTGAATTCGGGAATACAATATCAAGCAATTAATAAATTTAAATCACAGAATGAATCAAGAAATTATCGCACGCCATATTGCATCATCTTTTTAAATACACATAAGCGGCCTTAAAAATGGACATTGTTAAAAATGCTAATAAAAAAAAAATAAATAAAATGTTAACCAAAATATACATTTCATAATTAAAATAACAGAAGTTTTGCTCAGAAATGTATACTTATTTATTTAATTTTAACTGAAGTATGGTGCAAAATTTCAATTTTTTGAATGATTTCAAGATATATATATTTATATCCACACATTACTGCATAAAATCCAGATAATTCTAAAATGTGAAATTCACATATAAAATTCACATATTTCTTGTGGTGATGTTTAAATAAAAGTAACTTTTGAATGTCTTTTCTGTTATTATTTTAATTTCTTAAATTTACAGAATAAAAAAAATCAACATTCTATGTATCAAATTATATATTTAAATCACGAATAATAAGGAGTTCACATTTTTCAACAAAAAACCTTATAGCCAAATACATTAAGATATAGGTAAAATCAGCGGCATGATCAGCATGTAAAATAATAACATTTGTGTACCAGTTATATATTTTTTAACACTAGCTATACATTAAATCAATAGTTCTGTACAAATCATTAGTATGTTACGATTGACTTTTGAAACCGGCCAACTTTTGATTTGTGTACGATTTGACATTTTAACGACTCGGTTTGTGTACGAGTTGACTTAAACCTGACAAATACATGTAATTATGTTATTCCATATGAGGTTCTTGTAATTATAGGGAAGGAAAGGATGGCGGATTAGATTGGATGCGCAAAGAAAATAAACCGGATGGTAATGATTATCTACTGGGCAAACGAGTGGACAGGCACATTGAGGAAGCCGTGGAAGTCGTCAAAGATGGTATTTATACCAGAATGGCATTCTTTGCATTTGAATACTTGCATACATGTAAATTCAGTTGATATTTGAATTACTATACAAAATGGAAAGCTTTGCAGAGGGGGTTGGAAACATCTATCAGCTGTGAACAATGTGCTGTTTAATACACAGCAAGATCATTGTAAATCTTTGAAGACACTATAAGAAGTATTTAATAAATTGCTGTACATTAGGTGAACCAAGCATCAAATTTGAGGATCTAGTCCTTATTATTTTGATTTTCTAATATACCATCGGTCAAACCAATTCTTCTAATTAAATTTTTTCTTTAGTAATAATTGTTATTTTTTGAAGTCGCAAAATACTTGTAACATTGTGTGTTAGAAAACATATTATCTGCTATGCAAATCTTTGAAAACATTGTACTTTCAGCATACTCCCTATTTCAAATCATTAACAACGTTACTGAAAAATCATTATTTTCGTGGGGTCAATTTTTCAAGGTTTGAGGAAAAAATTTTGGTTATTGGGTATTTGATTTCATGGTTAGAAAATGTTTCATAGTAATTTATTTGAAATTTTAAATTTTGTGTTGGTCATAAGTTTGTGGGTCTTGTCATAAGTTTGTGGGTCTCGCCATACCTGGAAAACAATGAAAATTACACCCCCACCCCCCCAAAAAATCAGGCAAAATTGAGACATGTTAGAGTTTCCTATGCTTTGCCACAAAAGAGCAGCATTTAGTTAGATTACCTCGATGTTATCATAATATTTAGTATTATGTTTGGTTGTTTTAGAACTTAATGAAAGAATACTTTCCTTGTGAAATGCCTTAGTTTAGATAAATCAATTTTTATGTCCCCCTTCGAAGAAGGGAGGGTATATTGCTTTGCTGCTGTCTGTCGGTCCATTTAGTTTCCGTTCAATTTCTTCACTACCATTGCACATACTGAAATGAAATTTGGTATACAGTTCTGTTTTGATTACGATCGCAACATTTTTGACAGAGTTATGCCCCTTGGACTTAGAAAATTTTTAAATTTTTGCAGTTTCCGTTCATTTTCTTTGCAGAGGTTGCGCATATTGAAATGAAATTTGATGTACAGATTTATCAGCTTCATATCTAGGTCAGATTCCATTTTGGATACAATCGCACCATTTTTGTCAGAGTTATTCCCCTTGGACTTAGAAAAATTCCAAGTATTTGCAGTTTCCATTCATTTTCTTTGCAGAGGTTGCACATAGTGAAATGAAACTTGGTATACAGATTTATCAGCTGAATATCTAGATCAAGTTCTGTTTTGGGTATGATCGCACCATTTTTGATAGAGTAATGCCCCTTGGACTTGAAAAAATTCCAATTTGGGAGAGGGGGGCATAAGTGTTTTACAAACATCTCTTGTTACTTTTAAAATGTAAATCCATTGCAAACTTTAATTGAAAATTACAAGTCACACATGTTCATTCTTGAAAGCAATTATTAAAACTTTGTAAGACTGTGCCATTTTCTTAATTTCAAGATGACATTGCACTGTTCAATGAGAGAATCAAAGCCAACATTCAGCTTGATATGCAGAACAAAGCAAGAGAAGACCCACTATTTGCTATAAGGTATTTTTAATGTTGATTTTGACTTTGCAATGATCAGTTACTTTATATTAAAGATTAGAATAAGCTTTTTTTTTGCATTTTGTATTTGTTGCCAAACAGGCTAGAAAATAATAATTGGCATAATTTTGAGATTTTGTCTTTGGATTAAGAGTGCTTAACAGCCAGTTTTGAATTATGTTTGCTACATTCCTAATGAATGATTCAAATTAATATTATGTTTGTTCATTATACAGAAAAAGGGAAGAAGATGTGAAAAAGAGACTTCTTGAAAATCCAGTTAGAATGAAACAGTTACAGAAAAATGTGAGTGGCTTAGTTTCGATTTATTAAAATGTAACCACTACCCTATGAAATATATATATTTGTTTCAATTTTGCTGAATTTTAAAAAAAATCTTATTTAGCTGGAAAAGCAGAAAAAGAAAGCAAAAAAGAAGCACAAAAAGCAGAAAGGATCAGATGATTCAGATGATGATCTGATGAAGAAATATTTAAACATCTTGAATAAAAAGAAAGGGAAAACAGAGGATGATGATGATGATGATAATCTGTCAAACAAAGGGAAGCACAGAGGTGACAAAAACAAAGAAAGGCAGCAGGGAAGATCAGATCACAGAGGCAGAGAGGATTCATATCATGACAGGTCATCAAAATCCAGGCCGGAAAAAAGGTATCAGGATAGGGGTAGGGAGGATCTGGAAGATGACAGAGGAAATTCTAGAAGTTTTAGAAACTCAAGGGACAATTCCAATGACCAGTATTCTAGAGACAGATCCCATAACTCACAAGGTAATAGATATAGGGATTCATCTCCTCAGAAATTCCTCGAATCAAGGAGATTCCTCGGGATAGGAGGAAAACTCAATAGGAGAAGCAAAGACGTAGAGAAAGACATGATTCATCAGGAAGTGAATCTGAGGAGCAGAAGAGGAGATTAACTCAGGATAGAAGACGTGATCAGCAAAGACGTAGAGAAAGACATGATTCATCAGGAAGTGAATCTGAGGAAGTTCAAAGAAGAGGAAGGAGAAAAGACGGCTACAATAGACGTTCTGTGTCTAATGAGAGAGGTAGTGGGAAAAACAGGCCAGGAGTTGGAAAGAAAAGGGAAGAATCATCAGGTTCTGAATCGGATGACAGGTCTGGTGGGAAATACAGACAAAAAGGAGAGTCAACGAGAACTAGTAAATCAAAAAGACATGACTCTTCTGACAGTGAATCAGATTCTGAGGAGAGGAGTAGAGAGAAGAGGAGACCTACATACAGACAAAACCAACAGGCTTCGCCTCATAAAGACGACAGTCATCCTACACAGAAGATAAAGACACAGAGCAGCAAAAGGTCAGAAAGTTCAAGTTCTGACAGTGACAGTGAACCAGAAAGAAGGCCTGTCAAACAGTATGGTTTAATTGTAAGTTCTAAATGTTTAGTTTGTCTGAGTTTATCTGAACACCAATTTCAATTGTCATGGGCAATTGGAAAAACCATTACTGTCCAATACAGATGTATAACTTAAGAATTCTTTTATTTTAGGATATCTTCTATTTTTCTGATTAGGTATTTGAGCTAAATAAGTTTGAAACAACCTATAAAACTATATTAATATATCCTTGATTTTGATTTTCTTTTTTTTTCACACAGAAACTGAAAAACACTGATTCATCTCAGACAAAAGCTGTCTCCAATTCTCCAGAAAACAGAAAAAGAGGAGAGAGAAAGAAATCTAGGTCACCAGATCGTAGGAGAGATGACAAATATTCAAGGTCAAGCAGAAGGTCAAGGTCACCAAATCAGCGGTCTAAATCTCCAAAACCAAAGTCAGGGGTTAGGTCACACAAGGACAGGAGTAGATCACCAGTGAGAAGGTTAGATTTACATCATAATTTTCATACTATAAATCATAAATAATATGATGTTACTGGTTTTTGAAAACATTTGACATTAAAAAAATATTTTTGGTGAATTTAAAATTTTCATTGATTATTTAATTTTAAGGACTGTATGCTAAAATTTCATTTGTAATGCATATACACATGACTGTATTTGATTATGTACATGTACATGAAATAAACAAGTATTCCTCAAAATGCCATATTGCACTGATATAAATTTAGACCAATGATAATTCTTTTGATGAAAGTAAAAGCATAAACTTTTTTATGTATCATTTCCCTGTATATCATTTTTTGAAACAGGAAATTAACAGAAGATGAAAAGAAGAAGAAATTAGAGGAGATGATGCAGAATGCACAATGGAGGGAGGAGCAGAGGAAGTCTAATGTAAAACGTTACACTGAGGAGGACAAAAAGGAAGAGGAAGCCCTCAGGAGCAAAGAGGAGCCTGAATTCCTCAAGTAGGATACCAGATAATGCAATTCTTTATACTATAGCTCAGACATCTAGGATATTAAAGTACTTGTAAACCAAGAAACAATTTAAATCATTATTCTTACAGAGTGAAGAAAATTATATAATTTTTGGCTGTCAGAATCTTTAACCATGGCTTATTAAACTAAATATTCAAAAAATTCTAATAAAGCAATTCATTTTTTCTTTTGTTTTTTAAAGTCCTATATGTCAGGCTGAAGAGTTCTGTTGAACAGAAACAAACTTCAGAGAGGGACTGGGCATATGGACAAGGGATTTCTGAATAAGTGACAAGCTGGACAAAGAGGGAGTGGGCATATGGACAGGGGATTTCTAAATAAGTGACAAGCTGGATAAAGAGGGAGTGGGCATATGGACAGAGGATTTCTAAATAAGTGACAAGCTGGATAAATAGACTTCAGCCATGTCTAAGTTTTTATTAGACTCTCATTTGTCACAAAAATGAAAATTCATGCTGGTCAATGAATTTCATTCACAGAAAAAAAAATATAGATTAAAAAAAATATACCTGTATCTCAAATATTTAATTTGTAATAAAGTTTGCACTAAAATGATCATGATTTATCATCAGTTAAGTTATTGGTTTAAAATTTTGAACCCTTTCCTGAGTTTCCTCACTTTTTTTGTAAAAATTGCAAATATGGAACTGAACAGTTTAAATTCTTATTCATGAATCTTGATCTATACCAGATGTAGATTTTAAATGAGGAAAGAATTTTCTTTGATTCATGTAATGACATGTATACCATGCACAATATAAAAGAGAAGTCTTGTGAGTCAATGGTCTGACACTAGTAATACCCCCACTCTGATGTGAATACATGTATATGGTATCATGTTAATATACACAAGTTCATTTCAAGATATGGAAAATAGTTGACTTCAGATACATACAAAAATGAATCCCACCATATGGCACACCTCACAAAGAATGAACTAAAATTTCAAGCATCTGCATTCTGCAATGAGTAGCTTTGAGAAAACTGCGACAAAAATTTGTTACGGACAGTCAGACAGACGGATAAACAAGAAGTTGACATCAGATTTGAACAAAAATGATTCCCACTATAAGACATGTCTCGACAAAGAATGTGCCAAAATTTCAAGCATCTGTGATGAGTAGTTGGTTAGAAAACTGTTACAAAAAATTGTTATGTATGGTACAGACAGATGCATGGATAAACAGGAAGTTGACATCAGATTTGAACAAAAATGAATCCAACCATTTGACATGCCTCAGCAAAGAATGTACTAAAATCTTATGCATCTGCAAGGAGTAGTTGTAGAGAAAATTGAGACAAATATTTGTTATGTATTGTATGGACAGATAAACAGGAAGTTGACATCGGATTTGAACAAAAATGAATCCCACCATATGGCAAGCCTCAGCAAAGAACGTGCTAAATTTCAAGCTTTTGCGATGAGTAGTTGCAGAGAAAACTGCGAAAAAAATTTGTTACAGACAGTCAGACAATCGCAAAAGGGTAAAATATTAAACCTCCTCTCCTTTGGATTGGGGGTTTACTAAATATTGAGATGGCCATGGTCGATGTCATACTGTAGCACAGGCACCTGACATTACTTACTGTAAATCACTTTTTATTGATTTCGCAAGAACTTTAATTTCGCGTAATTATGTGAGACAGTATGCTTGCGAAAATTAAATTCTCGCGCATAATAGTATTCCCTAAGATTAAATAGAGCAATAACCAGAATTCGTGAAAATTTTGTCTCGCTAATCAAGAGTCAATGACTATCTTGCGAAAATAAGGTGTTGCGAAAAATTAAGTGATCTACTGTATTTTTCTTTTATTAAATAAGAATATGCCCCCTACCTATTAATTCAATAGATAGGGGGTACATTTTTTTATTCAAAAGAAAAATAAGTCACATCAGGTGCCTGTTTACTGTAGATATAAGTCCTTTATGACTATAATACAATGAAGCGCATTGAAGTGATAAAATTTTCCGTTTGACTGGAACGTTTTGGGCTATCTTTAGAACGATGTTTGTCATACAATGACACGCCCATTTCTTTAGAAAGGAAAATTCGGTCAAATGGTTCATTCGAATACCTGCAGAACAGGTATTCCATAGATATAATAGCCAATCAAATTGACAGTCTACATCAACACCGATTCAGCACGTGTTCGACCGATACATGTGTTATGGTTACTCCAATAAACATGATCAATTAATAATTATTGACAAATTCGTTGAAACTAGTGTTTTACAGAAGTGGGAACTCTCAAACTCTCTCTCTGTTACAACTTTAAAAATCTCCATTTCGGTGTAACTCATGTTGCTTGTCACGAAGAGCGAGGTTTCCTTAAACATTTTGACGAACATTTCTTTTTCGTTTCCAAAGAAATGGGCGTGTCATTATGTTCAAATTGACGTTCAAAACATGACTCAGAACGTTTCATCCAAACAGAACACACAATGGGCTTCAAAGGCCTATATGTTAAACAAGAAGCATTGATGAGTATGAAGATACAAGAGAAAAAAAAAATGATGAAGTGAATACACACACAAAAAAGGATTGAACATATTTATTTCAAATGATAAGAGGATTTTAATTTTCCGATCCTCTCTTTCCAGGCAGAATCTTCACTTGATTTTTCTAATTTACATATCAATGATTCACAAGCCTTCTTCTCTTTTCCACTTAGGAACTGAAAAGACAGGACAAATCTCTTAGCTGAACACAAACTTTCTAGAATCTCGGTCACTTTTTCACCATCTTGATCTTTGTATTCTGAATCAAGTGCTATCAAAAAATCTCCTAGAAGATTAATGTCTGTTTTAAAAATATGTGCCAACTGAGCTCCGCCCATTTCTAACAGGAAGTTATACTGATCAGATGTTGACTTGTGGTATCGCCTCCAATCTCGTGTAAACTCCTGACTGTCTTTTGGTAGATTGGAACTCTGGAATAGAAAATTAATAGTTAACTTTTTTTTATGTCCATGTTCCTTTCTTTAAAGTACCAACAGTAGAGGGGGATGGGGTGGGGGATGATATGATATATGTGTGTCATGTAATGTAATTCTGAACTTGACTAATCTGTAGTACATGTATTGAAATAAACAAAAATGCTGAAATAAAAAGGAATAGAATCCTGAATAGTGAATACAAATGAAAATGAGTAGTTTCTAAAGTAATTTAATTGTTTCCTCAAACCCAGTCTGATACAGATCTCTACACAGAGCTAATTTTGATTGTTAATTTGTGATTGATTCCTTTATTGTTGGGAAAAAAATCAGATAGTTCCCTAATACAAGCAAAAATATAATGAACAAAAGCTCTACCCTTTTACCATACATGAAGTAAATATACCTTTTTAATGTCAGATGCGTGGGAACTTTGTGGGTTTGCTTTACTGTTTTCTGCATGAGCATTCCATTTGACATCAAATGTAACATTTTGCAGAGTGTCACCCTTCTCTAATGGCTTTATATGAGAAGCAAGAACAATATCTCTGTGAAAAGAAAATAAGCATTTAAGTTATAACAGTAGCCGTGCAACAGTGTGAACGGTATATTGTACATTGTCTATCATTAGTGACTTTCTTGGGTTCAATTAACTTTTTCAGTTTTTGTCTTTTCAGTAAAGTCGTGTTTAATTTTTCAGTCGTGTTTATATATAAAAAGCCATTATATTTCTTATTATGATTTTTATTAGCTTTTGCATTTTGTCAGAGGTCCAATGGTCGTATATTGTTTCTTTTAAATTTGTAATATATAAACACAAAATTATTCATTTTGGTATGACTTCCATTTATCCCAATTAACACGCTTTACATTTTCACCTGGACTGAATTCTTAATACACACTTTTATAACGGTAAAATTTTCCTTAGTTTTATACTGTTATTTTCAAATTAAACATTATATTGATATTTAAATGTTAATAGTTCCCCGCAATGCTATTTATAAAAATCATCAAGTGGATTATGTAAAATATTGTGTATCCATGATGATAAACTGTTGATAGTTTAATTTTTTCTGGTAAAATATCTTGAAAACTGTATATAAAAATTAACATACTTGTAAACCTTGATCAACAACATTTGAATAATTTTGTGATGACGGTATATTATATGTACATATTTGAAGATTTTTTAAGTTGTGTATTTTTTTTTCATTAGAAATATATAAGACTTTCAAGAGTTTCACCTGGGTATGAAAGGAAGTTAACATTCTTCATAAAATGCATTCAACTTTTTGATGGATAGCTATGCTCTTTGAATTTTGCATCATTTTCATCGCTGCCAGTACCGTCAGCATATATGTGATACATGCACTGTTCCACCGCCATAACGTAACTGTTATCCCCAGCTCTTTTTCAAGCTTGTGTGAAGTTATTGTCATAGTATCATCATCATGACTCTTTTTTATTTTTTGGGTTTCTCCATTTTTTTTTTAAACAATATTTATATATTTATGAAACAGGAAATTCTGGTTTGCCATCCTTGTGCTCTCTATATTTCATACATGTATGTAAAATAATCAATTATAACATATCCATGAATTTCAAAGCTGTACCGTTGTGAAAAGAAATGACTGTGGAGTCTGGAATAATTTGAACACACAGGTAAAATGGTTTATTTATTGGATTTTCAGCGTGATGAACACACAAAATAATTATAACAAGGATATATTTAAAATATAACGTGTGTTGCGCGCTGAAATAATATCAATAAACATTCATTAGGGATGTTTGCAAATATAACAAAATATTTACCTTTTTTATATATCTCAGCAATTTGCATTAGATTCCACGATCGTGTAAATAGACTTTCTTTACTATGACGACGGTTGCCAACATTCTTCATAAGATTAAATGGACAATTTTGCATCATTTTCTCTCCAGTACCGTTGATCACACCTCCGCTTGTTGAAGTCGTATTCATCATGACTCTTTTTACTCCATTTAAACTATATCTCAAAATCTTGAATAAAATGTTTATTTGTTCACGGAATCACACAAAATAATATAACAAGAAGTGTTTATCAATAAAATTCATTAGGGATGTTTCTATAACAAAATATTTACCTTTTTGAATGCATGTAAACACTTGCTACTCTACGTCACGCAGACGCTTGGGTTCCCGTTGAATTTCATACTGTAGTTAGACACATTTCGACACCATATTTTCAAAACTAAACATGATTCAAAATCATGAATAACACTAACAAAAAATAAAAACAGCTGGTAATTGCTTTTTTTAATTTAAATTTAATTTTAGAGAGAAGGGTTAATTAATGTATCGCTCTGAATGCGATCCCATTTGCGTCGCGCAGTGGAAACAAAACTTATAGGGGAAATATTTTCCCCTGTGTTTAAAAGGCTCATATTTTTCTGCCCCGCAATCGCAGATTCAGTGGTATATAGCATAATATAGTATATCGTCCAGTCTGTCCATCTGTCTATCTGTTTGTCTGTTTATTTTAACCTTGCCCATAACTTTTTACTAAATGATTTTTTTTTTCAAGGGCTATTATAATAATGGATTTCATAAATTTCAAACACAGTATCAACAAGAGCGCCGTTAGTTTTGATATTTCTTGTGACAAAAACCCTCTGACCTTTCTTGATGAAAAATGAGAATGCTTTTATAATGATTATTACTATATAATTTTTTTTTGACTTCTTGAAATAGACACACTTTAAAGAAATTTTCTCTTTCTGACACAAAAAATAAAAATATGGTAGTTCTCTAATTAAATGCATTCACCAAAATTGAATTTTTAAAGATATAAATCAGCAATTCTAAATATTCTGAATTTCCTTTTTTTTAAGAATATTATTAAAAACTTATTTTTATTCCTCTTGTAAAACATTTCATATATATACTTCTCAACACGTTATGTAAGTGTAGAAGAGATTGTTCTACACGAGTGTGATAGAGCAATTGCACTCATAGTAGAAGCAGTTGCGTCTACATGTTCATAGTGGGAGAGAGCAGTGGATATGCAAATATATAATAATGGATTTCACAGTGTATTTCTGGTGACGAGATCTTTAAATTTGACTTCTTGACCTTCACCTTAGAGTATGACACACTTTCACAAAAAGAAATACCAAAGTTTAATATTAGTCATAACTTTTGAACAGTTAATACCAGGGCTTTCAAATTCCATAGGTTTATTCCATGTGACAAGACCTTCCTTTACGATACCAAGAAATTTCGACCTTTTGACCTTGACGTTTGACTTTCATTAGAGAAACTGATAGAGGAGTATCAGTGTTTCATTAAACACATCTTGCTTTTTCAGGTTACTCTAATTTCTAAAATGTGCAAATCACCGACTCTTTCCCTGAGCTGAAATTTTGATTACTTTAACCAGCGGATACCTGTAGTATCATGAGGGACAACCCTCCTGTTTTCCAAAGGGAACTTTTTATGTAAATTCAGTATGGAAATTTACAGACTTGAGTAACCGCCCCCTCACAGGCCTTTTTGTTCAAATTCCCGCACATAATTTAATGCAAATTCTTTCTAACTGATATATCATGACCCCCCCCCCCTCCCCCTCGCCTAATCCATCACTCATACGAAAAGGATATTAAATTTATTTTTCATCGGTTTCTTGCCCCCCCCCCCCGTTAACAATGCAATTAATGTGCCTGAAATGTTTTAAATAATATATTATGGACAATCCCCGTTTGGGCCAGGGTTTTGTTTAAATCAATGATGTGTTGGGGGGGGGGGGGCTCCCGTTTTCCAAATGACTAAAATTACTGTATTTTATTAAAAATGAATTATTCACAAATGAAGTGAATGGGAGTGGGCAGCATGCAAAAAAAAATTTTTTAGCCCTCTCCGTAAAATTACTTGAACCAGACTGAAGGAATTTGGTGATGGCAATCACAGGAGGGTTCTGATTTCTCTTCACGTCCATGATTTGAAAAGTCTTTAAAAAATTAAAATTAGTTCGATCTTTCTAATACAAGGAATAGGGATAAAACAAAGTGACATTTACTTTATTCACAAAAATGAATACATAAAGGTGTTTGAAACAGTAAGATTTTATTTACAAATGATTAAATTTTTCCTTCTGAGGAAAGTTGTATAGTGATTGCAACGACAAGCTAGTACAACCTAGCAATCAGAGCATTAACACAGTCTGGGTTTAGCAGATTTGGTCAGTCTTAGTCGTTCAGTAGGCTCCGTATTATGCTTCTCCTCGGCTTCTTTGACTTCCGGTCTCTGTAGTCGTCTGTTACCCTGCTTCCGGATAAGTCCATGCAGCAGAATGTTTTCCCGACACACTCGATTTAAGTGGTCTTTATTGGTCAAGTTCTCTTTGTACATTTCATCGTAGTTCTTTCCCCTGTATCTGAAAAAAATATCAAGGTTACGAGACCGTACACAGAAAAATAATTTAAAAATCTTTTTTACTGTAGACATTAAGGTTCATAAAGACATAAACCCTCTGCTCACTTTCCCAAAAGAAATGTATTTTATGAGTAAAATACAAACAGTTATAGCATATTATAGCTTGCGGGGCAAAATTGGACAAAAAAAGACACTTCATCTGAGACAAAATCTAGAAACAGATAAAGGAATAATAGACATTAGTGTCATTAAGAGTTATCTCTCTTATCAAAGTATCAATGAACCTTAAATTTCACTGAAAGTTTTGGAGTCACTCTGTTCATATTCTTGTTTAGTGTTGACATTATGAATGATTCTATCGGCGGCGGTGATTCCTTCGAAATCCACTAGTCCATTTGTACGACATAATTATTTACCCTTCTAGTTCCTGTATCAGCTTCACATTTTCGTTGTTGGCTTTATGAAGCTGATTCTGAAGTGATTTGATTTCCTTTTCCTTCTCATCCAATAGCTTCTTCAGATACACCGCCTGTAGGTTAGTCGCCGCCGACACCTGCTTCTCCCCCTGGTTTGCTTTCGTTTTTTCGAATGTAAAATCTTTGCACCTGAAAAGAATATCGCAGGAAAAAGTACTCATCCGGTTTATTTGATGTTCTATTAGTTCACCATGATTGAAGTGAAAATAACAGTTTTTGGGATTTAACAATGATTTAGTACATATTTTACCTTTCAGATACTGGTTTCAGTGCATTTGGACATGTCCAAATAGTTTTACTGCTTGATTTGAATGGTTTTGATATGACTGGTT